ACGGAATATCGACATTTTGCTCTAAAGCCACTGCTTCGATACTCGTTAATAGCGTTAAACTTGCATTTGAACTCACGGATTCGAGCACAGCTATAATATTAATAAGACTAATTTTACCCCGGTATTATTTTCTGAGAGGAGAACAAAAAGCGTGCAGTCTGTTGTTTAATTGATGGCGACAATGACGCAGTGCTAGACAATTTTATTCATAATTCAAAAGAGTCTGCTGGCATTTCTGTTCTCAAAGCACACAAAACTGTTCCGATAACCAAAACTGGCGCAGATATTGTTTTTAAACAATGTAATCACTGCTCCAATGTTCCATTAATAAATTCACGTTTAAATCTATTATATTTATTGCTAATGATGATATAGTTCTGCATTAAAAAGATAATTTTACACTTTGCAAACTATAAACCATGAACGATTGTTTGAATTGTTTTGTTTGAATGTATAGTGAAAAAAGTTTTTGTATTTCAAGCATTTCTTAAAAGAAGATTAATATTATATGAAATATTGTAAAATTTAGAGAATTATGATATACTAATGATACTAACATTTATATAATGCTACTATAATACTATTACTAAAATTGTTTATTATGTTCACTTTCCATAATTTTAATTGTATTTATCTAAGAAGAAAAGCTCTTATCTTTCCTAATGAATATGTTCTTTGCAAACATACAGAAACTTAATTGAGTTACAGTAAATATATCATGGAAATCAATCTGTAAGTCGTCAGATAAGCGCAGACGAAATACTAAAATATTCTTATTCTTGATTTTGTATTTTATTATTAGACTGCGGATCCTTAAGCAAAATGAAAATTGCAACTAAGGCAAAATAATAGTTTGCATTCTTTGTTAATAGGTGTAATAGATTGAAAAGAATTTACCAGTAATCCTAAAGTTATTTTTATTCTTGCCACTGCTTTGTGTTTCGCCTAATAAATTTTTGTATAAATGCTTAAAATCCGCAGTCTCCTTATTATTTATGATGTATTTTATTTCAGTTCTTTTTCACAAGTACTATCTGTCCTCGAAGCAGCTAAAGCTTCTTTTGACACTCTGTCTACATATGTAGATTGCTACAAGGGATAGAACCCGCCGGCGGCCATGTTGCATGTAGGTTATATGAATGTGAAAAGGGGAAATCGTCAACCCAAGTTGGCATCTCTTTTTCTTTCCGCGTTCCTTTCAGTAATATTTTGCTACTTTCAATATCGTCAGAAATAATTTAGATGCTCATCACAAGCGAGGCACACATAGCAGCAAAATGGTCCAAGGTGACTCTTATTCCCTAAGTCGCGTGCAAGATGGAGATCCGTTATGGATCTGCAAGAGGATTGTGCCGACAAAGACCTTATCCCTGTCAGATCTTTCAACGGTCGTGTGTCGTATAGAGATCTATGACGCGTTAATGGCACTTCAGTCCGAGATCGAGGACAGCAGAAATGTACGAATTTACTACAAATGTGCACAATAAAGTGACCCATTCTGAATTTTTAATTCGATCAGTTGACGACTGTCTTGTTAAGACATTTGTAATTTATACGACAAATTTTACAGAATATACAGGGTGTTCCGCATTTTTTCGTACATGGTTCAAGAGTGTGTTCTACAAGTAAAAATACGACTAAAATGTGATATAATGAAAAGTCCATAAATGCTTCGTTAAGAATTTGTGACAAAAATGCAAAATATGACTTAAACGCTGTTAAATATACCTACAGTCCTCACGCGACAAGAAGGCATCTTTGTGTTTATATTCCCCCTCTTAGTAGATGTCTCACTGCCGCAACTATCGGTTGCAATTGACCGCCGTCGATCTTCGTCACCGTTTTCGTCCAGTAGCGACCGATAGCTGCGGCATTGGAGCAGTTAGTAAAAGAGAACAAACTTGCCTTCTTGTCGCGTGAAGACTGTGTACCTCCATTTCAAAGTCACGCTCGACTTCGTTGAGACAAAATTGACATCAACGAGTTATTGAATTTATTGTTGATTTCAGTTGCTTGTGACTTTGTCTAATCTCTTCGCAGACGATGTTGATTCTTGTAATTAATTTGTCTCTTATACACTGTCCTTATCATACCTTTCACATTTCTTATTTTTGACATAACGTTTCAACAAAACATTTATGAACTTTCTGTTATATAACATTTTAGTCTGATTTTTACTTGTAGAACACTCCTGAAGCATCTATGAAAAAATGCGGGACATCGTGTATATACAGAGTGTTCCAAAAATGTCTCGCAATACGGAAATGCGGGGTAGCTGAGGTCATTCTAAGTAACTTTTTCCTTTGCAAAAATGCAATCTGCGGCTTTGTTTACGAGTTATTAACGAAAAACACTGACCAATGAGAGGTGAGGGCGCGAAGTTCGAGAGCCCGCAGCACGAGGCTTCGACAGATGGTCGGGACGGACTCGAGCCGCGTTCGAAGTATTGAACAAATCACGAAGCGTGAACTTTCCGGATCTTTTTTACTACGTAAAAGTGATATTTTTAAGAAAAACGCTGTTCACCTCTACTTTAGAACGTCTGAAGAATATTTACTAATTTTTCGGACTCGAAATAATATGTAGTTCAACCGTGACAGCCGTTTTAATTTTCTGGTGTGCATGACACCTCATGTGTACCATAGGAAATTTTTATGCAAGGTGTACAGTGAGGATTAACAAAGTTCGTAAATGATATTTTAATTTAAATAATTCCGTGTCCGAACAGAATTCAACGAATGAATCATACTCTTTGAGTACTGTTAAGTACTCAATCTAACAANGGACAGCAGAAATGTACGAATTTACTACAAATGTGCACAATAAAGTGACCCATTCTGAATTTTTAATTCGATCAGTTGACGACTGTCTTGTTAAGACATTTGTAATTTATACGACAAATTTTACAGAATATACAGGGTGTTCCGCATTTTTTCGTACATGGTTCAAGAGTGTGTTCTACAAGTAAAAATACGACTAAAATGTGATATAATGAAAAGTCCATAAATGCTTCGTTAAGAATTTGTGACAAAAATGCAAAATATGACTTAAACGCTGTTAAATATACCTACAGTCCTCACGCGACAAGAAGGCATCTTTGTGTTTATATTCCCCCTCTTAGTAGATGTCTCACTGCCGCAACTATCGGTTGCAATTGACCGCCGTCGATCTTCGTCACCGTTTTCGTCCAGTAGCGACCGATAGCTGCGGCATTGGAGCAGTTAGTAAAAGAGAACAAACTTGCCTTCTTGTCGCGTGAAGACTGTGTACCTCCATTTCAAAGTCACGCTCGACTTCGTTGAGACAAAATTGACATCAACGAGTTATTGAATTTATTGTTGATTTCAGTTGCTTGTGACTTTGTCTAATCTCTTCGCAGACGATGTTGATTCTTGTAATTAATTTGTCTCTTATACACTGTCCTTATCATACCTTTCACATTTCTTATTTTTGACATAACGTTTCAACAAAACATTTATGAACTTTCTGTTATATAACATTTTAGTCTGATTTTTACTTGTAGAACACTCCTGAAGCATCTATGAAAAAATGCGGGACATCGTGTATATACAGAGTGTTCCAAAAATGTCTCGCAATACGGAAATGCGGGGTAGCTGAGGTCATTCTAAGTAACTTTTTCCTTTGCAAAAATGCAATCTGCGGCTTTGTTTACGAGTTATTAACGAAAAACACTGACCAATGAGAGGTGAGGGCGCGAAGTTCGAGAGCCCGCAGCACGAGGCTTCGACAGATGGTCGGGACGGACTCGAGCCGCGTTCGAAGTATTGAACAAATCACGAAGCGTGAACTTTCCGGATCTTTTTTACTACGTAAAAGTGATATTTTTAAGAAAAACGCTGTTCACCTCTACTTTAGAACGTCTGAAGAATATTTACTAATTTTTCGGACTCGAAATAATATGTAGTTCAACCGTGACAGCCGTTTTAATTTTCTGGTGTGCATGACACCTCATGTGTACCATAGGAAATTTTTATGCAAGGTGTACAGTGAGGATTAACAAAGTTCGTAAATGATATTTTAATTTAAATAATTCCGTGTCCGAACAGAATTCAACGAATGAATCATACTCTTTGAGTACTGTTAAGTACTCAATCTAACAATTGTTAGCGGAAATTACTGATTAAAAAGAATTTAATTTTAATCAAAGTTCAAAATCAAAATTCAAGTTAGTTCCTTGCAGTATTCCAAGTTTAATGAAATCTCTTTATGACTGTCTAACTTCGGTGTGATTAGATTCACACCAATCTCTTATGCAATTGCCAATTAAAATTTTGTAAATGTATTCGATATTAATTTTATTTCTCACACCGCGGATCGTAAGTTTCTGTTACAGTAGAAATTCGATTACGTGAATTTATGATATCTTAATCAAATTTCATGTGCAAATAAAATGATTCATACGCAGCATTATTGATTTATATGTGTAGCGTTGGTCACAGATCGGAAATTTATGACGAGCTTCGAAGATTCATTTTTATTATAATATATTCGAACAAGCTGAATTTTATATGGATGTTTAGAATGCGAAATAGTTAAAATAACATCGGATACGGCAAATTTTATCTTCCTATTTTCAATTTCATCAATTATATTATTTTGCTTCCATGGGATTTTTTGAGGTAACATTTAATACTTAATATATAATTCTACTTATAATATCATATAAGTAGAAATCTTCCAAATATTTCATTTGAATGTGTACAATAAAATGTTTTGGTAATTACTTTTGTTTTTACTTTAAATGGTTAAAATACTATTTATTATAATACATCGTAACTTTCTAGTTTCAGTTTCATTAATCGCTTAGAATTTATGGGAATTTTTGGGGATGATTTTCGACAGTTAAGTAACTGTTCTATCATCCAAATGTTCACGTTCTTCCGATTGGTTTGGATAACTTAGATTTCACGGTATCTTAATATGTGTAGGATCTCTGCAGATAGCAGAGAGAGAATTTTATGTATAATATACTGTTGCAGATAAAGCAAGACGAAGAGCCTCGGAAAGTCCACGGCGTCCGAAAAAGAAACGCAAACATTCGAGAGACGTTCAAACTGGTCTCAATTCTCGATTTGAGCTCTATGGACTGGACGCCGATCAAAATCTTGCACTGATCAATTTCGAAAGGACACGGGAGACTTTCAGCGATTCCTGCGAATATCCGCAGTTGCACCAAAGTGCCTACTGCTTATCCGAAAGTACAGCTCAATTGTAAGTAATACTTATCACATGTAAAATACATCTCACAAAGTGTTTGACTTGAACTATTTTTTCGTTAATGTAGCGATGAACCTACACTTTTGCTGTATAATTCAAAGGAATCCTTAAAAGGATTGCAATATACTTTTTAATTAGATTTTTCGACTCGAAGCTGTATGAATTTCAGAACCGACAAATTTTATGCAACTTGCAGTTGAAGCTAAACAAACGTGGAATGTAACGAACTTAATTAAAATAAAAATAAAAATTCGAATGGAACGAATTTAGTCATACTAACTTTAAATTTTTGGAAATGGAAAAATAAAACTTTAATGTACTGCAGGAAGCTTCAAATGGAAAAATAATCAAGTTGAACCCAGAGATGGGAAATAACAATTTTTAAATAGAATTTTATATATACGAAAATCTTTCAATTATGCTCGCATTTGAATCAAAATTCATTAGATAGCCCTTTCGACAAAAATGAAATTAATAAATTGCAGTGACTTTCAGCGAAATTAATTCTATTTCCTTAAAAGTTTTACACAATTTATAAATTCAATTATAGGGAATTTTAAAATACGAGCAACGATATCTATCTATCTTTCTTTGACAGTTAGTCGGACGTTAAAATTAATGTTCACTGTTCTGTGAATGTGTGTTTCTGCTTAATGAATCTTTATAAATTCCGTAGTAATTAAAAATCTATTGCATCGTTGTTCAGACGTATTGAGTTTTAAAAATTAAAAATTGCTCGATTTTCTGAGTTACTAAAATTATATTACATCATAAAAACAAACATATTAACATTTTAGTTACTTAAATTCCGGGAACAGTTTCAATAACATGATATTCCATCATACGAACAAATCTATCAATATTTTAATTATTTGAATTCCGAGGGTAGCACGGATAAAGTAATTTTCCATTGTAGGAACAAACATATTGACATCATAACTATTTAAATCCTGAAGATAGCTTCGATGATATCATATTCCATCGTAAAATGTATCGTAAAAACAAATATGTTAACATTTTATTTATTTAAATTCCGAAGATAGCGCGACATACTATCTTATAAACGTACCTCATAAAAGTATTTCTCTTCCTTTTGACGTAAATAATTTCTTATTCTTTTGATATTCTCTCTCACAATATATGTATTGTCGTCGTACAATACATTTCTCATTCATAGAAATATTGACCGATAACGAAATATTCGCGAAAAGATTTGTGAATTAAAAATATCACAAAATATTTGTGCATTAAACAATTATTTTTTAATATTATTTACTCTTAAATTATTTTATATATATATAATAAATTAATTATATTCCTTCACTTATATTAATAATGACACTTTCCTGAATATATTTTCATTGCAAAAAACTGTTTGAAATACCATTTGTAATGCAAAGTTAAAATTATTTTATAGGCTGTCAAAATGAAAATATTTTATTTGCGAAAAAGACATTTCATATTTAAAATATTGTTTTAATTGATCCGTAAATTAATGATCACTGGAAGTAGCGTTTAAAATACTCCTTTCTATCAATTTTACCGAGTATAACTTGAATGTTTATTGATCGCCGCGAGATCGCGACGCGTGTTGTGAAACTGCAAAGAGACATCGATAATCGTGTTTGCAAAGAAAGGAATTCGATTTTCTCATAAGAGCAATGATTCAAGGAACTGGGTCATCTCGTGCGTGGATGCGCTTCTTCGTTGGATGTTCACCCAATATAGGGTCATGGTAGAATTGCATGGCGAACAAAGCGTGTTCAGAATTGTAATGAAACTCAGTCTAACGTTAATGGTCTCCGGCTAGAAATGCACCGGAGAAAACGTTATAATGCCAGAATACATTTAATGTCTGCTTATCTTCTGTCATTGTCTCCTTCTACACAAAGAACAGAATTATTTATTATCTATCGTTACATGTCTTCTATTATTCATATGACGAGTATGCAATCTTAAATTTTAATTACCTACGCACCAAACAATATGAAACGTCTAAAAGATTAAATTCTAGGCAATTCTTTGCACAACATATTGTACAAAATCATCTATTTTATTTATGGGCGGTGGTGTCATCGGACTTTATACTTTTATATAGACAAATTTCAACGTCTTTCTTACATTTGTAGCAATAATAAAAAGTTTGTGAAATTTTTCGTTTGACAAGCTTAATTAAGTTTATCTTCACATTGACGTTAATTAATTAATGCAACTGGCATTGTAATTACTGTGTGTTGGTAATCTGATCAATCTTAGTGACAGTGAACACTCTATTGTTCGGTATGATTGGTTTCAGATGGTATTGGAAATTGCATAATCGTATACCTAGGAACAAAGAAAATTCAATATGAAGTATCGAAGGCAATTGTCTTTTTGGGAGGTATGCGAGAGTAACGTATCTTCAAACGTGATTAAAACACTAAAATTCGAAATATGCACATGAATCGACGAGTTCACTACATGTTTCACATACAATAGGACTTCATTAACCTAAATCCGTTGGGAATTGGATGGCTCCGATAACTGGGACGTTTATATAATACATAGGGAATTGCATAGTTTTAACGCTAACTTATGGCTCGTTAGAGATTTCAACAGTTCAATTTTTCGTTTTCTGAAACGAACTCGAAAAATATTCACGCCAAGTACGTAACATGAATCTAAAGATGGCAAGCGATCATTCATCGTTCTGATGTTTGATCTATTAGTCTTACGAAGAACCAACTTTGAGCTTCTGAAATAACTGTTGTTTCAATTTCTCAATCGACGAAATTTTTCTTCACCTTAATTTTTAGCGAATCAAATTTTAAACAAATAAAAAAAAAATTTTGAGGAAATTAGATTGTAAGTGAATTAAATTATAACTGAATCAAATTCTAAGTGAATCATATTTTATAATTCTACCATTTTGTTGCACAATTTTGATTGTGCAACTTTGATATCCAGTTTATTACTTCAACCTTCTTTTCGAACCAACTTCATTGCTCACGAACGATTCATTGTAAACGTCCAGAATCCACGACTCCGCAATAAATTTCTTCTTTGACTTTACTATATGTCCTCACAATCACATGAAGCTTGGCAAGAACAAGAATGCATAAAAGTCTTCCCTCCGACAATCAGACTTCTACGCAGCATACACAAAGTGGAATACATAAATCTCGAGAAATTTTAAATTAGAAATTCCTTGACGAAAACGCATACCATGATGTACAAAATAAATTGATGAACAAAGTTTCGTAAATAGACTGCGGATCTCTATGCAGAATAAAAACTTTCTCAATCGATTAAAAAACGAAAGAACAGGAAATACATAAAAATGAATGTATGTATTTGTTTTATGACTATAATGTAACGATATTCTCAAATTTGTCTCTCTTCACAATTTTGTATTGCACCTACCAATTTTGGTGATAAAAGCCTAAAATCTACTATTTAATTATACCACAGACAACGTGGAATTCATGTTCCAAATATTTTGTAAAATTCAGCGAAGAAAACTAAATAAAAACAAATTTTAATTTTTAATTCTTAAAAACTAAAAATCGTTTTTTTGTTTCTCTTTTTACATTTTTTTTAACCTAATTGTTAGGTCGCATCTGCATAACAAAATCAAAACTCGCTCGCGGTTAAAAACGCGGTTAAAATGTAAAATGTGACTTTTTTTGAATCGTATAATAATAATTATCGAAACAATAAGTTGATCATTTACTGATATTTCTTTTTGTAATCCACATAAAAAATGTTTCTCGTTGATATTCCTGTACCTAGTTGATGGTGCCGGTTAATTAGGGTGATTACTGAAATCCACATATACACTTCGATCGAACTAGTATCCAGAATTTTCTAATTCCCGCAGCACATTTGATCGATAATTATAGGACGCTGTATTTTAATGCCAATTTGCACGTCAGAGATGCCAGCAGCAAAATGCGGTCAGTGATACACAATGATCTGAAGGCTCTTTTACACGGTGCATGATTCGCCGCACATGGCTCATTTGCCGTTGAACAAAGGACCGTCGCGTTGCGTCGCGCAAGTTCGGTTCGTGCTTCCCGCCCGTTATTGGCAAACGTCAATACAATACGGCTCCATTTATCCGAACCTGTCGGGGGTTAAGACGGATCGGATAACCGGATCATTCGGTTAATAAGGATCCACTACTTCTTCCTCCCACAATCGTTCGTTCGCTTGGCTGCGACGAACTCGTACGCATAGAACTGGATTTCCAGCCGCGCATGTATGATCGACCCAAAAAGTGAGTTCACAACCGCAATTTCTGGAAAAATGAGAACGCAGTAACTTTTTGAAAATTGGACCAAATAAGTTCAATCTTTTTCCGATGTCAGACTGACTAGTTTTATGGATAATCAGTGAATAATGTTTGCAACGATTGCATTTGGTTAGAATGACAAAGGAATCAAAAACTGATGTTCTTTTAACTTCTTTCAACTTTTTCATCTGAGTCTACAACGAAAATTTAAATATGTTTTGTAGATCTCGATAACTTATACGCATGTTGAAAATTTCATTGAAATTGAATCGATTGGAAAGTAAGGATGTTAAGAAAACACTTGATTCGGTATTTTATCAATAAAAAACAGGACTTTTACGAGCATAAAACACAAAGCTACATGTAAAATTTACGCGTAAAGATTATTACTTTCCTCGATACAAAAGTCATGCTAAGCAATACACGCGAAAATGTTAAACTGAATGCTAAATATAACTTTAACATTTTATTTGTCCCGTTTGCCAGTGTATAAGCACTGTATTTTAAATAAATTTTCAACTAAAACTTTACAGTTTCTTCTTGCATAAACTTGACACAGTTGAACAATACATTAACGTTTGGAAAAATTGTAGACTTTATCGCAATTTTTATTTCATTTTTCTCTATAATCTTGAAAGAAGAGGTTTCGAAAATTTACAGTTTCAATTTCTTCGAAAACATTCAGAGAAATATTAAACGAACACATTTGTGGAACGATTTA